CCCCAAAACCCCAAAACCCCAAAACCCCACTCCCTTACGAACAATTTGAAAATTCAAATTCTAATAATTACTCCAAACATGGGTTCCTTCTTACACAGCCTAACTATTCTAGTCTTGGTAGTGGCAATCGTTCCGTGAAATAAAGGTTATTACTTGAGTGATTTCAAAGATAAGTCAACTGGGAATTTAGGGTTCATGGCGAAAAGGATTGAGAAGAATGTGAATATTGTACTGATGTGTGTTGGGTTGGTAGAGATGGTGTGGGAGAGGTCTGATGATTATGGTGAGGTTGAGAGGCAAGTTGATGGGATTTGGCAGGCGGTTTTGAAAGATATTTTGTATTGTGATGAGGTGAGCTGAATATAACCCCTGTATACATGTTGTACAGAGTCATGAAAGAATTCAGAGTATTTGCAAGACACATGGTCACTGAAATGAAATATAGCTGTGAAAAGCTAAGACTGTTGTATTATAAGAAATTGCTTGGAGTTATTACAAAGATTATCCATGACAAAGGGAAGGATGCTTTTGATGCTAAATCTAGATGCATTCGTATGAGGATTGGTCAATTCTTTATGCCCACTTTTAAAGGCAATGATACTTCTGATTGCTCAGAGTTTGATGAGATCATCCACAGTTTCTCTGAACAGTCTGACAGTTTTTGGAGAGATTTTTGGACACTAATTTTTGAGATACTCTGAGTGATTGTTTTAGCTTTGCTGATTAGAAAAAGCTCACAACTTTTATTCGATGAATGGGAGATATACAAGGATCTAAATAAGTCATCTATCGACTTAACTTATCAAACAGATCAATCATATAAGTATTGTAACCTTCATTTTGACGAAGTATTTGAACAAGTGGGACAATAAGATTACTGTCTTTGAAGAATTCTGACCAATTTAGAGATTATTAGAAAAGAATACACATTGAATTAAATTTTCAGTTATTTATTTTCAACTGTCAAAACTTCCCTAGGGGTTTTGGGGTTTTGGGGTTTTGGGGTTTTGGGG